TCTTTCTTGAACTGGGGAGCCCAGAACTGGACACAGCACTGCAGATGGGGCCTCACTAGGGCAGAGCAGAGGGGAAGGAGAAGGTCCCTCGACCTGCTGACCACACTCCTCAATGCACCCCAGGATCCCATTGGCCTTCTTGGCAACCAGGGCACACTGCTGGCTCATGGTCAACTTGTCATCTACCAGCACACCCAGGTCCCTCTCTGCAGAGCTGCTTTCCAGCAGGCCCGCCCCAAGCCTCTACTAGTGCCTGGGGTTGTTCCTCCACAGGTGCAGGACCCTGCATTTGCCTTTGTTGAACCTCATCAGGTTCCTCTCTGCCCAACTTTCCAGCCTATCCAGGTCACGCTGAATGGCAGCACAGCCTTCTGGTGTATCTACCACACCTCCCAGTTTGGTGTCATCAGCAAACTTGCTGATGGTACATTCTAACTCTTCATCCAGGTCTTTGATGAAGAAGTTAAACACTGGGCCCAGTACTGACCCCTGGGGAACACCACTAGTTACCAGCCTCCAACTAGACTCAGCGCCACTGATAACAACCCTCTGAGTTATCTCAGTGGAAGCAACTGAAATTGTTAGGATTTTTTTCTTTCTATTTGCTCCATTCCACTTGATACACCAGAGGTGACTTTATTTGTGAGAAGTGTAAATCCTGTCTTTTAACTTCTGTTTTTCTGGTGAATTGCTGCTTCAAAATAAGGGCTAAAGATTGGTATAGTAGTTTATTTCATTAACCTCACCATAGTTGTTGACTGTGTGTTGAGGTCCTGAAACTAATTCTTCCTACTGGGTGGTGTAATACATCTCAATTTGGGTTACATGTTTGTAAGGCTCACTGTATTTCTGAGCATGTTAAATAAACATACTCCCAAAAGTGTTGTTCTGTTTTACAGGCAGTTGACAGCAATGCTGAAAACTCAAAGGAACTTGTTGAAAGGTGTTCATAATTGCAGGATTAGTCAACAAACTTCAGATGAGAGAATACTTGTCAGTACACTTTTGTGGTCACTTTTTCCACGTTGATCCTCTTTCAAATAGAGTGAAAATGGGTAATGCTAATCATGTCGAATACTATACGAATGCTCTACCAAACATTCACAAAATATTAAGAGACAGCTATATTAAAGAAACAGGATACTTTCTGTAGAGTCTGATAGTGACAGGCTGTTCTGAAGACTACCATTAGAAAGCTTTAAAATAGATTTCCTGTTCTTCAAATCCTTTTTTAGTGTTTCCAGCTGTTATTCTACCTAAGTTCTGTGGTTTTCCATTTGAAGTCTGTTAGGTGCATTTGACAAGACTTTTTTGTTGAAGACACTGTGCTTTTTCCTTGTTGGAGCAAAGGCAAGTAACCATTTGTTTAGAAATACAAGCATATAAAGGAAGACTTCACTATTATCCTACCTACGATTTCAAATACTTAATGTACAGTGCTGAGATGCTAAATTTTACCTCCAGAACTGGTAAGACAAAGCTATAATATTTAACCTCAGAATAGTGAATACTGATTCACATTATTCGTTTGGTTAATGTTCTGATGCTTTGATTAGTCTAATGATACCCACTGAAGTAGTAACTCCAATAACATTACACTCTATATGAACGCAAAACAATACTTGAAATTCCCCGGCTCATGTTTTGAAGAGTAATCCTTTCCGAAGGAACTGGAAGTACCCCAAAGGGAGTACTAATATTTAGCTAATAAGTACAGCTACCAGCTGTCAGCAGGTGAGAAAGTCAACAGAAGTGTGGTCTTAGCAACACAAATATCAAGGAACCTCATTTTTATTTTAAGTTGGAATGCACCTGGTAATGAATGCTTCATAAAAACTTCAGCAAAAGTAACGTGGCCATTTCAGGGAATGGAGCTAAAAGAAAAAAAAAAGTTCCAGAAACGTTGGGAAGGAAGTGCAGTGTCTTAATTAAGATGTTCTAGTGCTTGTATGATTTGGCAAGATGATGAGAGAAATCAGCACGTATTTGCTTGGGGACAGAGTGGGTTTTTGTTCCCAGTGGAAAAGTTGACTGAACCTTTCTGTAAGCACAATGGAGCCAGTTAAAGAGTAAATGCTAGTTTCTCAGACAGTCTTGTGCATGTTCCATGCATGTTGAGGTGTTGGTTCATGAGGGAGTGTCTTCTGTGTTCACAGTACTCCTTCTGCTGGCCTTGCATTAAGCCTTGCTGGAGGAGGGGGATCTAGCTAGGTTGTAGGACTTGAAGCGATGGGGGACCAATTATAATCTGTAGAGAAACAGAAAAACGAAAGCTGGAGCATATGGCTAGAAGGAGATACATTGGAGAAGAACAGTAGTTGTGGATGAATTCATCAACAGTTCTTTTCTGAATCATGTAATTAATTCTAGAGCCCTAATGGGCAATAGCTGTCTTTTGAGTCTCTTATGATAGTATGCGGCTTCTATGTCATGATGCCAAGTACAGTGATATTATTGAAGAGTCTATTAGACAAGGGAGCTATGGAGAACGGTAGGAAATCCGACAGGGATGTAGTCCCTCAGCTGCTTGAGGGACTGACATCTATTTCTGTCTTTGTTGCAACCAAGATAACACTTTATGCTGAGACTGGTGTCTGTGTTTGCGAGAGCTTTGTTCTGGGACTTTATGTGGGGAGAAGTGTCTGGAGGGGGCAGAGTGGAGGACACAGGGAAAAGAGTATAACTTGTTCTCCAGTTCTTCCTTAATTCTGTAGTGAAGAGACTGCGTAGGTGCTATTGCTGTAACTTGTGAATGTAAGGGCAAAAGTGCAGACAGGCGAAGTGGGATAGGCAAGGACTTAAGACTATTTGGAGATGTGAATATTGTTAACAGTATTGGTGTGTGATAGATTTTGTATTGTGTAGGCTGGAAGGCAGTGAGAGTGATGCTATATTTTTTGAGGTGTGCCAGAGCAGGTCAGAGGAGTTACAGCTTAATGAGTGTGAGGTTTCAATAAGGAATATAATAAATGTGGCATGCCATAGAAGAGTACTCACAATCTGTACAAAATATTTCCTTTTACGTTGTGGTGGGTTTTTTTTTTTATAAATTCCTGC